GGTGGCAGAAATCGATACAATGGAGGTGGACGAGGAGCTTTCCTTGGAACCTGTTTCCACTGTGGTATCAGAGGCCACAAGAAGCATGAATGCAGAAGAAACCCAGAGAACCGAAACAACGGCACCAGAACCGGGACCGATTCCAACAGCTACAGCACCAGCAGGGACGGCAACAATACCAGCAGTACAATTGGACTCGGGAGCAAACCCACAACGAGTTACACGATTTGGGCCAACGCAACAACCGGCGACTACAGCACCAATTCCCAGATGGCAGCGAGATTTACGAACATGGGACACGGACCGACATGGGACCCAACCAATACTTCGTACTCGGACCCAAACGAGATGATGAGTCGACAGTGCAGACTGAAACAAGTATCCAAGATGAAATCAAAGAATGAAGGACTCGGTTTGACCTTTGAATTCACAGCACCCAATACACCACAGCGAAATGGACGAGTCGAAAGGAAGTTCGCAACGGCTTTCGGACGAGTTCGAGCAATGATGAACACTGCTCGGATGACAGAAACGATGCGTGGCAATCTATGGGCAGAGGCGGCAGATACAGCGACAAAATTGGACACAGCACTTGTCTATCAACGTGGTGAACAAAGTTCACATCAAAAATTCTGGAAACGAGAAGCTAGATTTGCGAGACATTTGAGAACGTTTGGTGAAATGGCAGTGATCAAGGTACACACAAAGATCAAGGGTAAACTGAAAGACCGTGGAAGAACAGTTATGTTTGTTGGATACGCAGATAACTCCAGCGGAGACACTTACAAATTCTATGATCCAAAGACAAAGCGAATCAGTTCAAGTCGAGATGTGTCATGGTTGAACAAGAGCTACGGAGATTGGAAGGGAATCAAGAAAACCAACACACTACAATTGACACAGGAAATTCTATTGGAAACGGTCCATGACAATGATATTACACAAGCACCAACAACTCACACCAGCGACGCAAACACAACAGCACCAGAACCGGGACCGATTGCAACAGCTACAGCACCAGCAGAGACGGCAACAATACCAGCAGTACAATTGGACTCGGGAGCAAATACACAACGAGTTACACGATTTGGGCCAACGCAACAACCGGCGACTACAGCACCAATTCCCAGATGGCAGCGAGATTTACGAACATGGGACACGGACCGACATGGGACCCAACCAATACTTCGTACTCGGACCCAAACGAGATGATGAGTCGACAGTGCAGACTGAAACAAGTATCCAAGATGAAATCAAAGAATGAAGGACTCGGTTTGACCTTTGAATTCACAGCACCCAATACACCACAGCGAAATGGACGAGTCGAAAGGAAGTTCGCAACGGCTTTCGGACGAGTTCGAGCAATGATGAACACTGCTCGGATGACAGAAACGATGCGTGGCAATCTATGGGCAGAGGCGGCAGATACAGCGACAAAATTGGACACAGCACTTGTCTATCAACGTGGTGAACAAAGTTCACATCAAAAATTCTGGAAACGAGAAGCTAGATTTGCGAGACATTTGAGAACGTTTGGTGAAATGGCAGTGATCAAGGTACACACAAAGATCAAGGGTAAACTGAAAGACCGTGGAAGAACAGTTATGTTTGTTGGATACGCAGATAACTCCAGCGGAGACACTTACAAATTCTATGATCCAAAGACAAAGCGAATCAGTTCAAGTCGAGATGTGTCATGGTTGAACAAGAGCTACGGAGATTGGAAGGGAATCAAGAAAACCAACACACTACGATTGACACAGGAAATTCTATTGGAAACGGTCCATGACAATGATATTACACAAGCACCAACAACTCACACCAGTGACGCAAACACAACAGCACCAGAACCGGGACCGATTCCAACAGCTACAGCACCAGCAGGGACGGCAACAATACCAGCAGTACAATTGGACTCGGGAGCAAACCCACAACGAGTTACACGATTTGGGCCAACGCAACAACCGGCGACTACAGCACCAATTCCCAGATGGCAGCGAGATTTACGAACATGGGACACGGACCGACATGGGACCCAACCAATACTTCGTACTCGGACCCAAACGAGATGATGAGTCGACAGTGCAGACTGAAACAAGTATCCAAGATGAAATCAAAGAATGAAGGACTCGGTTTGACCTTTGAATTCACAGCACCCAATACACCACAGCGAAATGGACGAGTCGAAAGGAAGTTCGCAACGGCTTTCGGACGAGTTCGAGCAATGATGAACACTGCTCGGATGACAGAAACGATGCGTGGCAATCTATGGGCAGAGGCGGCAGATACAGCGACAAAATTGGACACAGCACTTGTCTATCAACGTGGTGAACAAAGTTCACATCAAAAATTCTGGAAACGAGAAGCTAGATTTGCGAGACATTTGAGAACGTTTGGTGAAATGG